GTGAGCAGCATCATTTTTTTTTCCTTCCCATTGGGCAGCAAAAGTTGAACTATACTTAAATAGATATTTCTAGGTGTGTATTAAACAGTTATACACCTTTTAAAATAACAGACAGCTTAGGTACATTATGTAAACATTATATAACTACATTGCTATGTTGACTTTTTTTCTTGTAAAATGCATTTTTTTTTTAGATTACTAAAGAAGCAGAAGAATTTCTTGTTGAACAGTACCGTCGACTTAGACAGCGGGATGGAAGTGGAGTAGCCAAATCCGCATGGAGAATTACAGTCAGACAGCTTGAGAGCATGATACGATTATCCGAGAGCATGTCTCGTATGCACTGTTGCGATGAAGTGAGTGAAATTTAAAAACTAGTTATAAGAATTATTAGATTAAAATCTACATTTCGTGTGTACTTCCGATATGAGCAGGCTTATTTAAAAAACTGAAGGAGCAGGGCACAGTAACTCATATTAAAAAAATTACAATCGGAATTCACTTTACTGAAGCCACATTTATACTAAGGCTGTTTAATGTAAAAAACTCTGCACAATATTTTTAATCTAAAACCTAAGCATCTGTAGAAATATTGAGATGCAAATGTATTTCTCTGTCTCCACACTTGCCCATATGCTAATAAAACCTGACATTACTAAAATTTGTGTCGGTTAAAAAATATTTCCATTGAACGTTCTATACCTCTATTTTGGACTTTATAGGTGTCCACATATTTTGATAACAATTTATGTAATTGTTTGTTTTAACAAGTTTTACAAATTATTGTGTTCCGTACATACTCAAATTAACAGAAAACCATGTACCAGTATACAGCTCCAAAAATGATATATACTTCTAAGGTATCTTAATTCCACAATGACTTCCTTCACGGACTCAAATTTATAGTGCAATTATGTGACTCTAAGGTATATATCTGTACAGCGCTCAGATCACTTGTAATTAACAAGCATCGCCTGCTGAAAAAGACCAAATCAAGATCAGGGCTGTAGCAGCAGCTATAATCATGGTACACCCACTTCAAGACCAGGATGTACAGGTATGTTATACGGTGTTGAAATGGTTCATTTACTGGAAGGACTCTGCACCTGAGGGGCTATGTGAGATGCTTACTGACAGAAAAGATTACATAAAGTGACACAGGTTGCTGTTATACCTACTGTCTCCGCTATTATGTTGCACAATGTGGTGAAGATGTTTGTATTCTAAAAGTACAGCCAGTGTCAGTGTTTCCAGTGATGGATCAATGTTTACAGACAGTTAAACTGATTTATTTTGGACATTTGTTTTTTGCTGTATAGTTCTATGTGTTCTACGCTGCAGAGGCACTATTTAGTGTACAGTTTTTTATAAAAATGTTCTTTTTTTTTTAATGCAAAAGATAAAATATCAGGTACATATTCAGGGTAAAAATTTAAAGTCTCACATGCGGTATCTATATACTCTGGACGGAGCAGGGGTGTTGAACTTGTGGCAAAAAAATAAAATTTTCAAAATACCCACTATGCCTCTTATCAAATACCTTTTTGGATATCTGCTTTCTGAAATGGGGTAATTTTTGCAGGTGTTTCTACTGTCCTGGTACTTCAGAGCCTCAAAGTGTGATGGTTTGTCAAGTAATCAGACACAAACTCTGGCTAAACTCTGTTCAAACTAGCAGTTTGTCTTCTACATGTGTGTTAAGATGCCAGTAGGATGCAGTCTAAACTAAAGCACCTGCTGTGGAGCTGACTGCAACACAGTCTAATGTATATAGAAATTTAAAGTGGATTAAGCTTTTTAGCCCAAAGTTAAGACTACAATGTAGTGTGGATGCTTATAGAATTGCTTCAAGTAACTATTGTGTAAATGTGTGTGTGTGTGGTCTGTATATCACATTACTGTCTCTTCAGAAAATAGGGATGAGGTTAGGGTTTGGTATTACCATGGTTTCATGGCAAATCCTACGTGTTCAAGGTTTGCAGACCTGGCAAAATTATGCAGAAATACACAGGCTCTGCATGTTTTTTGAGCTTAGACCAGCTGGCTTAGGAGGCCAATGATCAGGGCTTTCTGTGCCAGCCCCTTCACTATAGGAGTTGCATTTTGGCATCCATTTGTCAGTGTCTTAGAATAGTATAAGGAGAGCTGACAACATGTGTGTGTAGGGAGAATTAGCTGCTATAGGGTGCTTTACTGTTATACGGTGTTAAATTGTGTACTGTAGTGGGATTTATATGTACTGTAGTGGGATTATGTGTGTGCGTATTGTATTAGGAATGCACCGAAATTTTGCATGACGAAACGTTTGGCCCAAAAATTGTATTATGGGCAGAATGCAGATAGTACCAAAACAGCCCGAAAATAAGGTGCATCCCTAACTTCTCTCCTGATCCCTGCTGCTCTCCCCTGTCTGTGTTGGGTGAGGCAGTGGGAATCGGAGGTGACAAAGGCCTGCACCCAGTGGGGTGGAGGAAGGAGAGTTGTCAGGAGGCCAAGTGGCAGGGGTGCGGGGAGGAGAGCGGTCACAGAAGGCCAAGCTCTTCTCCTGCACTGCCCTACTCGACCTCCTGTGACAGGACAGTCAGGATGGAGAGAGGAGTACAAACACTCAGCGATCAGTACCAATTGCTGAGTATTTTGTAAATAACATGGTATTTACAAACACTCATACTGTGTCCACAGTTATAAATGAACAGGAAGTGCTCTACATCACTTCTTTTCATTCATGATTGTGGACATAGAAACTTATACAATCTCGCCAATTTAGAAATGGACACTCACTATAGAGGCTTCCTCCTCATTCATAACAGGGGCTTCAGAAAAAGAGATTTAAGACTGTGACCACAATCTCTATTCTAAACAGGGAAGACCCTGACCGTAAAGTTAAAAAAAATAAGATAACATTTTAAAAAGGTTTGAAAGTCCTTTTCTGCTTCGGCCTGACACAGAAAACAGCCCGGAACTAAACCCCATTGAAAACATCTGAGCAAGGCTAAAGGAAGGTGTTGGAAAAAGACCAAAAACAAACAAGAATTCATAGATTCTATAATAAAGTGCTGATATAAGATTACACCTGAAGAACCTAAAAATGTAGTGCATTCTATGTAAGAAAAGTGCAAAACTGTTATTGCATGTTAAAGGCTATTCAACTAGATATTTACATTTTTCTACATAAAAGCATATATTCCTGTTTGAATAGCTACTGTATATTATAAACTTATATTCCTCATTTAATGCTGAATTCAATTTACAACACGATGAGCTTCAGAGTTTGCCTATTCGTGTACCTACTGCCCAGCCACTTTACAATATTCATGGCTATTGTTTCTCAGATAATACTCTATTGTTATTGCCAAATAAAACTCGCCTTGTCTTTCCCTCTTGTATTGTAGCCTAGCCAAGCTGCTATCTACTGCCCACCAAGGAACAATTTTTGTGGCTATTGTCTCTCGAATAATGCACTCTCACTTTCTGTTTCAAGATGAAATCTACCTGGTTTCTCCCTCTTGTACTGTGGCCAAACCAAGCTTCTGACAAACTGTCCAGCCACTGTCCAATTTTTTTGACTATTGTCTCTGAGATATTACTCTAGTTTTGATTGCAAGGTTAAACCTGTCTTGTCTATTTGTTGGCTATTCATGTGTTTGCAGGTTAATTGTCATGCTGCTGTATTTAGCTAAATTAAATGGTAAAAAAAAAAATCAATTTACACATCCAAAATATGTGATACCAGAATACTGTTGCTGACACTGCCTATGAAATTCCTACTGCTCTGTAACATCACATCAACCCCATCTCCCAAGTATGCAATTTGAAGGATTGGTGTTTTTTTTTCCATTTTTTTACCGTCAAATATACATGGTATTTTTAAAACTTTTTTGCTTTGTTAAATGTCCCATATGCCAATAACCAGCTTCACATGCTCTATTTAATGTCTATTAGCCTATAACATGGGCAGAATATAATGTA